GCGTATTTTTAAGATTTGTAGCCTGAAGATAATTATCACTAGCCCAAAAAGTAGCGTGTCGCCCAATTTGAAATTTTTGTAGCGAGGGCACTTAAAAAGTAGCCCAATCCGCTACTTGTAGCCCAATCTGGCATCACTGGTCCAAAGCAAAAGTGATTCTTTAGTCTCCCACTTGTCCTCAGGGCTATTCCTTTTCCTTGTCCCCTAACTAGGTCACCCACCACCCACACTTGGAAGAAAGTTCCAGAAGTATAGACAAAGGAACACAGAACAAAGAAGGAAGGGAGAATAGAAAAACATATATATATACAAAAATATAACAGAATACACTGGTGCACCACCACAATATTATAAAAAGTAAGAAATTTCAGTTTATATTTTGAAAGCATATAACTATTTGAAATTGAAATTTCAATAGACTTTAAAGAATTAAAACTAGTGGCTTTCTTCAGTAACATACCACACAAGGAACAGTTGTTTATGTAGTTTTTATTAAAGGAAATGCATTTTGGGTCTTGACAACTGCATACTCAAAGATGATTCAAACCCTAGCAACCCTGCAGCAACCCTAGTAAACTGATTACCAAGTCAATTACCCAACATACTCTCTAATGTCAATTGTAACTAACAATCAACCATTCTAAGGACTGAAGAGGAGTCATTAAGACCCAAAATGCATTTCCTTTAATAAAAACTACATAAACAACTGTTCCTTGTGTGGTATGTTACTGAAGAAAGCCACTAGCTTTTAATTCTTTAAAGTCTACAGAAACCAGTAATGGAAACCTAATTAAATGAAATTTCAATGTTCATTTTTTTAAAAAAACATATAAAGGTTGGTTGTGTTTATATGTATTAGATATCAATTGAAAGATAGATAAGCAAAGCAAGCATATTTAACACATTAGGCTTTTCTGTTATAATAATGGCAAAAACACAGTGCAAACCTGTGTAAAGATAAGTGTGGTATATGGCAAAAATGCATTGAAAAAATGTGCATGCCAGCAATGGTTTGTAAGATTTCACTGTGGAGATTTTTTTCTGTCTAAGATACATCATGCTTGGGCCATTCACAAGAGATCAATACCAACAAAGTGAAAGAGATAAACTATATGTCATGGGAGACTAAGTCATCTTCCAAATATCAAAATCAAACATGGAAATCATCTGTATCAACTTAGCTACGTTAGAAATCTTGATGTTTGAGTTCCACGTAAACTGACTGAAGCAAATTTAGAATGCATTTCAATATACCATTTATCAAGAAGATTGATAAATGGTACATTGAAAATAATCAATAATGTTGTCCACTAATAAAATAAGAATTTTTCATTATCATCTGCTTCAAAATAAAATTTTGAAGCAGATGATAATGGACAATGAAAAATTGATCATGTACTGTATAACAATAGCAAGCACAATCAATCATGGGGTTGCATGGCAAATTAACACAAACCATTTCAAAAGCAAGACTTTATGCAAACAAGATCATGTTCTCAAATTGGTAAAGTTGGAAGATGCTCGATCAATTTGGAGGAACTCAATCAGTTTCTCCAAATTGACTGAGCTACTTCTGAAGAACAGAACAATCAATTTGGATATATATTGTGGCCAACTGGACAAATTGAATGCAGTTATCCATGAGTAGTGTCCAGAATTGGTAAATCGTAAGGGCATCATGACAACAAGATCTTGCTCATCTTTGCAAACATTAATATGGACACGGCAAAAATTATTGGAGCTGGGCTGGAAGTCTTACCATATCTTTCATATTCACTAGATATTGCCCTCTCTGATTACCACTTGTTTTGTAATCTTCAGAATTTCTTAAATGGACTCTGCTGTATTTTTGAAGAAGGCACATGGAATAGTGCCATGAAAGAAATTAGGTTTTGTTAAGTCTGTGCTGCTATGAAAAGAACAAATCCATGACTCTTTACAATTGTCTTTATTGCATTTCCTCTGCATAAAATGCTGGCTGGACAATGGGGGACCTTTGTTAGCAAATTTTTTTTAATATCCTCCTAACCTGTGGTAGTAGTTTGCCAATACATAACATGTTCTTTAAACAAGGAATTATAGAGCTGTCCAAAAGATGACAAAAGATTGTAGATCAAAATGGTCTATATATTATTAAATAAAGTTATTGCTTTCTCTGAAAAAATTGTATTTTATGTTAAAAAACCACAAAGACTTATTTGCCATCCCTATATTGTAATGAAAAATTGAAATAAATNACCACAAAGACTTATTTGCCATCCCTATATTGTAATGAAAAATTGAAATAAATTTAATTTTTTTTTTTTTGTTTAAAATACAGTATGTTTTTATCAAGAAGGTTGATAAATGGTACAGTACATTGAAAATAATCATCAATATTGTCCATTAATTAAATTAACAAACTTTAAATAAAGATAAATAACAAAATATGTTATTAAAATATTAATATGTTTATAAAGTCATAGTTAATAAACTAAATTACTTGAAACATATTTAATGATTGATTTACAAATTTCAAACAAACAAAAAAAAACTAATACTAAAATTAAGCTACAATAGTTCATCACTGATTATAGTGTAATTATTTATACAATCAACCCTTAAAACTCTAAAGTTTGTTGATACTAAATGTTTGATCACTTATATTCAATAATGTCAGTACTATCATTACTACAAATTAAAGCTTTGTAAATTATTCTAAAGTACAAACATTTTGAATAAAATGACTTAAAAACAACCTTTTACACTTTTCCAGCTGTATAACATTTAAAGCTAGTTCCAGCATGTATAATGTATAACAGCTGGAAAAGTGTGTTAATAGTTTCAGCTTCCATAGAACTCAGTGATTAAATTTTGAATAGTATAAAAGTTTGATTAAAGTTATGCTTGTCAGATGTCCTGATTTTCTGGGATTGTCCTGAATTTTTTCAGACTCCATCTAGCACCAGCAAAACTTTATTCTAAAAACTGTTCCTACAGTAATTTTTTTTTCCTTTTTCCATGTTTTAAATATATTTGTCACTTGCAGAGTAAAAATACAGGTCTTGTATGATCTGGAATTAAAGTGTTCCAGTATCTTTTGGGAAGAACTCATTTTGTCCCAAATTTTACCCTCAAGTACCTGGATTCACAAGTAACATTTTAAAAATTAATTTTCTATTTGATTAAGTTATGAAGTTAGTTTTTTTTCAACTTTGGTTTCAAAAATGCATTTTAAATGGAAAGTTTTAGTCTTATTTGTGAAATATAGATTGTATGCTGCAATATAATTGTTTGATCACCAATTCTAAGTTCAGAAGAGAATTTCTGAAAGGATTGTAGATTCACATTTTGGATATTAGATATAACAGTTAATTTTATTATTGATCAGGCAATTATAAAAATACTTAACATTTTTATATTTGTCTGATTGTTCTGAGGGAGTCCTACTTTTGTAGGACTCTCTCAGAACATATATGAATATATTTATCATTGGTTTATAGTTAAAAACAAAGATAAAAACAACACTAGCAACAGAAAAGATAAATTTTAAAAATATATTAATAACCACTGTTATATACTTTGCATATTGAATTCTGAGTAGACTGTGAACAATGTTTCAGGATTTAAAACTGGATATGAAAAATAGTTACTATAAATTACATGAATGAAAACTGGAAACTTTCCAGAAGAAATGCATTTGTTAAATTAAAATTAAAAACTAAATTCGTGATGTTATCAAATATGTAGTTTGATTTATAAGACACTATTAGTTTTACTTACAGCTTATGAATTCTTATTAAAACCAAAAGACTTTCTAAAATCACTTTAAAAAGCTAGACATTTCTCTGCTATTTAGACTTTTCAGAGTTGATTGTATATAATAATTTGAATTCTATTAATTTGTAAAAAATTTTATGAAACATTTTCTTTTTATAGATTATATTATCCATCATTTTTTATTTTCTTTAAAGATGAAATATTTTAATAAAATAAAATCCAGTTTGGCACATAGTATAGTTTATTACATATCTATTTTGTTTCCATTTAAATTTACTTAAAGTTTTAGTTTATAAAAATCACAGCTATCTATAATTATAATTTTAAAAACTGATCTGTCAATTATTTTATACTTAAAATTATATTAATTTTGCAATGCTAGAAAGATATTATTCAATGTTGACAGGGGATGCGTTAAATTCCTTCAGTTTTTCTCCTGGTTGTGCCAAGAGATGTTTTGCTCTCACATCAGATTCATTTCATCATAGTAGGTCACTGAGTAGTAGCTGGTCATTATTTAATTTTCTTGGAGAAGGTCAACAAACATCATTTTATATCCAAAATCTAAATAAAGCAATTGTTACAATTAATGCAAAGACCACAGAGGTAAATATTAGATCTCATGAGCATTTTTGAAATATAAATTTGAAAAACAATCATTTGTTGAAAATTTTAGATTCTGGTTGTAAACAAAATGGCCTGTAGATTACTTGGACTTAATAATGAACAATTAAATGGCAAACATTTATGCGACTTTTTCGTCAGCAAATCTGGAGAATATATTTTAACAGAAACTGAATTAGAATCATCTGGAGAACTTATTGTAATGTCAGGAAAAGTGGTAAGAAATCAACCTGAAAAAATCTGTGACATTATTATTTGCAATTTTACTTTAAGCTTTTTATGTTTTTCAGTTTTTTGTGATGATTTTCATAATTTTATCAGTTTTAAATTGGATTTTTATTATTTAACATTTTGATTATTTTAATTCATTTTATATTTAATGTTAATTTTGTGTATAATAATAATTGTTACTTTTTAGAGAAATTTTGAATTGAATAAAAATATAAATGTTGTACACCATTTATATATGTAAAAAAATACAGGATAATTAATAATTGGTAATACAAACTAAAGGAAAATATTCTTTGATTACACAAAATCATTTTTTTTAATCATTAGTTTTCATCAAACATAAACTATCAAACTTTTTAATAACAAATTATTGATAAAGAATTGAATAAAGCAGCATTTATTTTTTCTGTAATTCCATAATTATTGTCAAACTATCTGTTATACTATCTCAAGGGAAATTTAATGAGTACATATTAATTTTTCTGATATTCACTTCACATACATCATTTAATGTTTATCATTCCTGCTTTATTTTCTCTTTTTTTACATGATGGATTTGTGAAGAAAAATAATCAAAAATTTTGATTTTTATGATTGTACACATGATATTTGAGATGTTTCTTTCAATAAATGCAAAAAAAAAATATCTCTCTTGATTAACTAAACAGTTTTTGATTTAAATTATACATTTTATATTACCAAATATCTGAATTGAAAAAGGTTCTACATTATGAATTTGAAATATTGAACTTCAAATCAGCTCAAAACTGCTAGCTTAGCAAACATAATCTGACCAAACTTAACTAATCGTTTTTGAATGATTTGATAAATTTTAATTAATAGTAATAGAAAAAATAATTCGATATCACATCAAAATTATTTTAAAATTATAATCTACAAAATTAATCTTTTTAGTCTCTAATTTACTTTATCAAATTAAACTGTCAGATCCAAGTATTTCTGAAATGATTGCCAATAATATTTTTATTTCATCTAAATTTAACTCAATTGGCATGAATTATTGCTCAAAACCTGAATGTATAGAAATCAGATATTAATTAAGAAAACAATTATCATTTGATAATGAATAATTAATTGTTACTATGTATTCACTATATCAATAGTGAATACAAGAAAACAATTATCATTTGATAATGAATAATTAATTGTTACTATGTATTCACTATATCAATAGTTATACCTGTATTAAATGAATAACAACAGCCAACTTATAATACTAAAAACACAGTGCACTAAGAGAATTTATATATAAATCTTTTATTTTTAATTTTGTATAGTTTGTGTATGTATGTAT